GATTTCATAAGATTACTTACAGGCGTAGTCACGGGGGATTTTTCACTGCTTGGAGAATCCACTGCAGAGGAGAAAGCAAGAGAGAGAAATAAACACCATGAGCACGTCCGAGGATGTCTTTATCTATGATTCTCTTACAGTTCCGACATTATTTTCTAATGATTTTTAAAATTTTATTTGACACGCGCTAAGAGCATTAGAAAATCATCAGAAAGCAGGCCCCTGAAGCAGGCTGTACCCACCACCTGAAGGAGTTATGACTGGTGTCATGGGGTCGAGCATCTCAATGAGCACCAGGTTCTATACACTAGGAAGCAAAAACGATTCCAACGAGTGCTGTTTGTAATGCGCCTGGCCGCCTGGCTGGGCTGACCAGGTCCTCCACCATCTGCTTTGGAGGGTAGAGACAGTGACACAGTTAACAAGAGAACCATTACCTGAGCCCGCACCCACACACCGCCTCTGCCGTGCTGCTGACTCAGAACAGTCCTTCAAAACCAACCAACAACCCCCCACTCCATTGCCATTAAGTTGGAACCCAACTCTTAGCAGTCCCGTCCGACATAATAATACTGCCCCTGGGGCTTCCAAGGCTGTGCATCTCTATGGAAGCGATGGCCACATCTCTCTCCCAAGGAAGTGCTGGTCAGCAGAACCACTGGCCTTTTGGAGCGCAGTCAAGCACTTAAGCCACCGCTCCACCAGGGCTCCTTGGCAACCCAAGAGCTCCTGGTAAACACTTTTGATGATTGCTTTACAAAAACAAATAAAAAGAAAATAGATACACAAAGAGATAAATACTAGTTCCTTTGGCATCTTCAAATAAAATGATCTGCATTTCTCCCCACCTCCCATTTGAGCATAATCGGCACCTCTGAGCTACAGAAGCACTAGCTCTTTGCCAACTGTGTGTCAGAAACAAATGCTTTTCTCGGAAAGCAGAAACGGACACAAACACCAGACATCATTGGTTGCCCCAACATGAATTTTTAATGCACAAAAGAAAGGCAGCTACCTCGTTTGCCGTTTACCTGACTGGGAGAAAAACTGGGACCGGCGCCAAGAGTTCTGAACTCTAAGAGGCACACTGGCAGCGCCAGCCGGCTCTAGATGAGACAGCAGAACAGAACAAGCAGAAAACCGTGAAAACGAGGGTGAAGGTGAAGTCCAACTACGCTCCCGCTGCAGCTCACGTCGGAACTGAAGCGTGAGACAACCCAGAGCCCAATGTCTCAGTGAAACATCCGCGATGCTGGCAAACACTAATGGACCAGGGCAGTGGGATCCTGTGTGTCTTCTTTGGTGCAAAGTGAGATTGTATAGGCTCAGCGTTATGGGTGAGATGGTTTAAAATGTTAAATCTCAAAATGATGGACTGGCAAGCCACATAAGAGCTTTTCACATGGTTTTGCATTGTGTTTGGAAAACACCACTCAAACCCCCCCTCAGAAAACAAAACCCCAAACCCAGTGCCACTGAATTGATTTTGACTCATGGGGCCCTTATAGGGTAAAGTAGAACTGCCCTGTGGGTTTCCGAAACTGTAAATCCATACAGGAGTAGAAAGACTCATCTTTCTGTGGGTGGTTTTGATCTGTTGACCTTGCAGTTAGCAGGCTAAGACGTCACTCACTCTCCCCTCTCCTGAAAACACCAGAACAGGGTCAAAGATAGCAGAGATGGGTGGTTCATTTATACACATCACAGTTTATAAAGGGCAGGTAGGGAAGTTCATGGCAGAGGTTATGAAGAAGGAGGAGGAGGAGGAAGAGGAAGAGGAGAAGGAAGGAAAAGACGAGTACATGCCCATTTATAAGAAGGTGGCATCCATCATCACAGTCCATGGCAAACATTTACATCCTGAAACTATAGGGTACCGTGAGTTTCTCCTACCAGTGATGTAAATATCCCTAACCAAACTCACTGCCATCGAGTTAATACTGACCCTATAGGACAGTATAGTACTGCCTCACGTGAGTTTCTGAGACTCTGAACTGCTAATGGGAGTCGAAGCCCCACCTTTCTCCCATGTAGCTGCTGGTGGTTTCAAACTGCCAACCTTGTGGATCACAGCCCAGCGTGTAACCACTGTGCCACCGGGCCTCCACTGGTGCATATAAGATACCAGTTACCAGTTACATAGCCTGTTCAGGTTTTACTGAAACACCAATTCTGAAAAAGGACATCTGTCATCTTTTGCAGTATTTTATGACTATTTTCAAAGTATTTAAATATTTTATTTGTGTCAACCATGGGGGTGGGGGTGTGCTCTAAAACTGATGCAGTAATGCTTGCACAATTCCCCTTGATATGATTGAACGACTGAACTATTGAATTGTAAGATATGTAAACTATGTGCCAATAAAATTTCATTAAAAAAAGACTTGTAGAGTTCCCTGTGAATTAGAATCAACTCTAATCTATCTCTATCTCTAGCTCTATCATCTATCTATATCTATATCATTTGCGTGTGTATGTATGTGATGAAGGGAAATTGGCAGAACATCATTAGGGTCAACCAGGAGGCCCATTTGGTCAGCCACTAAACACATGGCTTTCTCGAGTCGGGGACAGCGCCTTCTCAGGGAGAGCGTCTTCGGCATGGTTCCTGGCTTCCTGATCTTCATTCTGTAGTTTCTCTGGATTTCAGGTGTGGCCTCAGAACAGTTATGAAAGCCTGCATTGACTTTTTACATTTGGGCAGAGCTCTCTACTTCATTTGTGTGTTTTTTTCCATTAAAAACAAATGGTATCTTCTCAGGTGGCCTTTATTCAAGGCTTCATACCTCTTGAAAGCGAGGCACTTCCAAACTCCCGGCAAGGCACCTTCTTATCGCTCAGCAGTGTCTCTGGGGCATGGCTCAAAGAGCCCAGAGTCCTCAGAGAGGGGCTCTGATCCGCAGCCCCCTCTGCGCCATCTGGAAACGGGCTGGTGTTGTCGGGTGCTGCCGACTTGAGGCCAACCCACAGCGACTCCGTGCACAGGAGAACGAAACAAGGTCCGCTCTGCGCCCTCCTCACCTTCTTTGCAGGCTTGAGCCCCTTGTTGCAGCTACCTTGTCAGTCGAGCTCTTTCCTGCCTCTGTTCACTGACCTGCTTTGCCGAGCATGCCGTGCTTCTGCAGAGACTGCTGCTCCTGATCACTTGGCCAGAGGACGTGAGCTGAAGTCTCACCACCCTCCCTTTTGAGGAGCATTCCGGCTGTAGTTCTTCCAGCATGGGTTTAGACTTGATGTTCTTTGGGAACACCACGATTCAAAGGCATCCGTTCTTTGGTCTTCCTGATGATGATTCAGCTTCCGCATGCATACGAGGCAGTTGAATAGACTGTGATATAATCAGGCACACATGCGGCTTCAAAGTGACATCCTTGTTGCTTAACACTTCAAAGAGGTCTTTGCAGCTGATTGGCCCAAGGCAACATGTCCTTTGGGAACTTGTTAGAAATGCAAATACTTGGGCTCTCCCAGACCTACTGAGGCAGAAATTCTGGGTGTGGGGCCCAGCGATGTGTGTTTCAACAAGTCCTTG